AAGACAAATTCATATAAATATTACATATAAAAGACTTGAATTTAAAACTTTTTAGTTGATAGTCTAGGTTTCTAATCAACAAATCAAGATGAGCTGCATTTGGTCAAACCAACTTGGTCGAGTTCAGTCTAAGCCAAATTGATTTTGGGGCAGAGAATTTTGCAAAGCCAATAAATGAATTTATTTCCAGCAGCCAAGTACTAATCAAGTTGGCATTAATTATTTGTAAAGTTGAGAGAAAAGAAATGTGGGTCCTGAACTTGTGGGGTTGGTTGCTGGTAGATTCGTCGAGGGATTAGTGGACAGTGCCTAATGCGTCATAGACTAATGTGACAGCAGGCCAATACCCCAGTTTAAAAAAAAAAAAAATTTGTAAAGTGGACGACTTCTATCCACAGGAACTCATCAACTTATGCGCGCCAATTTATAGACGTCCTTCATATAAGAGACTATCAATAGCATCACTTGAATATTTTTTTATCATATTTTTAAAATTAAATAGGCATTAAAATCTACATGTACTTTGATTTATAATTAAACTTTTGCTCTCTTATTTATAATTATTCTTAGGTTTAGAATAGCTTTCACAATAATTTGTTAGGAAAATGAATTTTTCATTGCGTTTTTCAAACTTTTGCAGTTTAAAATATATTTTTAAAAATGTATTTTTTAAACAGTGGCTGAAAAAAATTTAAAAAAATAAAAAAAGATTAAGCTGCTTTTAAATGAAATTTTAGGTTTTCTTTGAGGCTGCCTTTTTATTGCTTCGTAGCTTTTTAGATAACTATCCGACCAAGTTTTGATTTTTATTTTCTCCATTTTCATCATTCACATAGCTTCGTTCATGGCTGCATTGTTTCTTCTTATCTAATTAGAAATTTCATTGTTTGAATACAAAGCAATAGTCTGCGTGCTTGGCGGGCGAGAGGTATTGGAGGCAAAGTTGGAGGCGGCAACGCCGTTATCAAAACCTATCTCCCAAGATTAATGTCAGATTTAAAGTTTTAGAACTATCTGGTTTATTTGAGAGGTTATTGTGATGCCTTGTTCTCTGTTTTTTCAGAAAAAATATTAGGTGTGGAGTGCAGACGGGGAGAGCACCGTCTGCACAGACACAAGGTACCAAGCGGTACCTAGTGGTACCCAGCGGTACCGAACGGTACCTAGCTGAAATTTATACTAGTGTGCGGACGGTTCTCCCCGTCTGCACTCCGCACCTAATAATCTCTCGTTTTTTCAACCCCTAATATGAGCAGTCCTATTAATGCTTTTTATTCTAAACTCCAGGGTTTAAAAAGGTGTATTAAGCAAAGTAAATGGGCCAACTCTTCTTACATTTCAAACATAATTAATGAGCTTCAGGATTTGCAATCTCTTTGCATCTCTCATATTCAAGAAAGGCCTTTGGACCCTAATCTTAATGGGGTATTAAATAATATTAGCTCTTCTCTCACTTCTCTACATAAGGCTTGGAGCTCTTGGGTGATTCAACGTGCTAAAGCTAGCTTGCTCTCAAGAGGAGAGGATGATTTGGAGTATTTATATGCTAAAATTAGATCCATATTTTGCTCTAATCGTATTAAAGAGCTTCATTCCGATGATGGTATTTTTACTACCCATGCTGACATTGCTAAAGTGGCTATTCGCCATTTTCATAACCTGTACAACCCCCCAATGCCTCCCAACAATAGAATATCCTCTATACCCGTTGGATCTGTCATTCCCCCTCCCCTCATTGCCCCGGTTACAGATAATGACATAAAGGAGGTGGTTTTGCTTGTTCTAATAATGCTGCCCCGGGTCCTGATGGGTTTACATTCGAATTTTACAAAGGTTCTTGGGATATTATTGGTATGGATGTTTATAGAGCCATTAAACACTTCTTCTCCTATGGTTTGCTTCCTAGACGTGCCAAAGCTACTGCTATAGCCCTTATTCCTAAGAGCTCCCATGCCTTGTGCATTTTAGATTATAGACCTATTTCTCTCTGCAATGTATTCTACCAGATTATTGCCAAAATCATTGCAAATCGTATGAAGGGGGTTTTGCCTTTTATCATTCATAGTAGCCAAGGGGGCTTTATTGAGCAGAGAATCTCCACTAATAACATTATTCTTGCCTATGATATTCTCAGTGAATTTAATAGTAACCCGAAGAAGTTTTTTTTATGCAAAGTTGGATATTCGTAAAGCTTTTGATAGTTTTTCAAGAGAGTTTCTTTTATCTCGTCTTCTTTTAAAAGGGTTTTCCACTTTATTTGTTGATTGGATTATGGGATGTATTGAGAATGTCTACTTCTTCTGGGTTAAGGCAAGGTTGCCCGTTATCACCTTTGCTTTTTGTTGTGGTTATGGATGCATTCTCGTGTGAAATTGATAACATCAAATTTAATGATATCTCCTGTAGTGATATTTCTGTGCATCACCTATTCTATGCTGATGACATTTTGATTTTTGGCAAGGCTTCTCTTGCTAATGCTGAATTACTTAAAGATTCTCTCAACTCCTTTGCTGAGCATTCAAGCCTCATTGTTAATAATGAGAAATGCTCTATTACCTTCTCTAAGAACACTCCAGAGGCAGATGTTATCACCAGCATGTTTGGGTTTTTTCAAAATGACAACTCTTTTACCTACCTTGGCATTTCACTTACCACCAAAAAATTTAATTCTTCTTACTTCCAACCACTACTGAGTAGGATCTCTACTCTACTTGCTGGTTGGAAAGTTAAATTTTTATCTTTTGCAGGTAGAATTCAGTACATTAAATTCACCATTGATAACACTATTGTCTACTGGATTCGTGGGGCTATCATACCATAAGCGATTTGCAAAGCTATTGATATACTAAGTGCTAGGTTTTTTTTTTCATGGCTCTCATGAAGGTAGAAAAATTTACTTAATAGCTTGGAGGAATACATGTATCCCCAAATGCTTTGGGGGGCTTGGTTTGCCAGCCATTGACTATCTCCGTTTTAGTTTCAACTGTACCTTTATATGGAGATTTTATTGTTCTAATTCTTTGGCGGCTAGATGGTTTAAATCTAAATTTATATCCCCTTGGAAGCCTTTTCACCTCAAGGTTTCTAAATTTTGGGAATCAATTTGTCTCACTGCTGCTAGGATTAAAGAGAATATCAGATTTCATGTGGCCAAAGATAATTGTCATTTATCTATGTTTTGGGACCGTTGGTGTGAAGGTTGTGTTGTTTCTAATTTCATTCAACCGCCTTTCTGTTCTGGGCTGGCGGTTAAGGATTTTATTTCAGCTGGGGATTGGTCTTTGCCTACTCATTTTGGACTTTCTGCCCTAGACAGTATCAGCTCTATCCAAATTCATAATCAACCTTAATCACACAAATCTTGGATTGGCATGCAGAAACCGAGTTTTCAAGTATTTTATATGCATTTTTATGCTAATTACATCAAGGTTCCTTGGTTTAAATTTGTTTGGCACAAGCGTTTTGCCTTGCGTTTTTCTTCCTTTGTTTGGTTGGCCATGTTAGGTGGTCTCAAAACTCAAGATGTGCTTGCTAAAAGAAACATTGTAATATCTGCTTTATGCTCGTTATGTCGGAAGGAGGATGAAACCATTCCCCACTGTTTATTTCAATGCGAATACTCTTTTAAGGTTATCACTGCTCTCCTCTCTTCTCTCCACACCTTTCTGCTCAAGCCCACTCTCTTGTAGGTTTTTGAATACATTGATGAAAGGATTACTTATGAGAAGAATTTTGGGTTCTTTGTGGTCTATTGTGCCGTTTATCATTTGTGAAGGGTATGCAATGAAAGATGCTTTGCTGCCTCTGAGGTTTCGATTTCTGCTACAATCATGAAGATTATATATGCAATTCAACCTAAAACTATTTTTTGGAAGAATTTGGATCAGTTGCAACTTTCTTTTCCTATAGTTTTCAAATCTAGTCGAGTTTTGGTTTGTTTTTTGGATGGCCAGCTCGGTTTTTGAATTTTACTAGGGATGTCGTTTTTATGGTAACCGAACGATGATGAGTGGAACTAACAATTTGATGACTAGATGGATCTCCTCCCTTAGGTGGCCTGTTGTGAGGTTGTTTTTGTTTTTTGACATCTAGGAGCTCCTCTATTTTTCTGCGGGCAGCCAGGAAGTTCGGACTTCCTTTGGGGGGTTTGCTTGTTCCTGTACTTGTATTGATTTGGTTGAACTAGAGCATTTGCTGGCCTACGGGATGATTTGTAGGCAACCAGGGAGGAATCGCCATTTCGATTGTCCGAACCTGTTGGTCAATATGAAGCTTCATGCTTAGTTTGTTAGTTCTTTTAAACCTGAGTCCGGGGTTTTGGATGGTTTTTGTCCCTTTCTTTAAGGGTTTTGCTGATCCTGTAATTTTCTTTCATTATTATACCGGCTTTGCCCCAAAATTTATCAAAAAAAAAGTATAAAGTTTTTATTTTTGGTACTAAAAAACTGTTTCAAAAAGTAAAAAAAAAGCTACCCTAAATCTTAAAGCAGCTTTTTAGTTTTAAAAAAATCGTTTTAAGAACCGGAAAAAAAAAACTGTCCCAAACGGCTTCTTAATTAAATAATGGAAATGCTAAAAGCTAGTACGAGGGCCGGCAAAATATGTGTTCCCGTTGGAAAGAAAGCCCACTGATTTAGGTGGGCTTTCCTAAACCTTAGGCTCACCCTTTAAACGAACAAAATAGGATATGGTATTTCCCCCGAAATATCGCGTTTCTCGTTTCCCTTTCTTCTTCAGAAACCCTAGCTTGCTCTTTAAATACCTCTTCTGCTTCTAAATCGGCAGTGCCGGTCCTGATCTCCCATATCGTCTTCTACGCGTCGCAGCCGCCGCCGCCATGTTTTATGTTTTTGTTCCCTATCTAATTCTATGTTTCTACTACTCTCTTCGGATATCTCCTTCGAGCCACCGAAGAATTTATCTTTGTGATTTTTTATTCTGATTCATCACTTGGTGCCCTAATTTTTTGTGCTTTTGGACTCATACATCCTGCAATCTACAAGCGTGATGACAAAGTAATGTCGCCCCAGTCTTATGATTCGTTCTCCTGAACGGACAGTGGTGATCGACTTATCTATCTGATTCCTTCTCGCGCAATTCTTAACCTCTGAAGTTTTTTTTTTGTTTTTTTTTTTCATTTATCTTTTACCTTATATCGAAATCTAAGGGGGATATGATGATTTCAAATCCATAGTTTTTTTTCTGCATATTAATGATGATCAAACAAAACATGCACTACCATCTGATCCCTCCTTCGTACTTGTTTTTTTTTAAATAATTGTTGCTAGCGTTTTAGTTGATTTTTTGAATTGCGATCTGTGATGAAATGTCGTGAAATTTATGAACTTCTTTGATTATTAGACCAAATAATCACCATCTTTCGGCTGAGATCGCCCATATGGTTTTTTGTTTATAATTTCAGCGTTTAAAATAATGATTTTGTATTTCTTCAACCGTTAGTTTGCAGTATCTCGCCAGGAGGTATCTGATGCGCGGTCTATTTGTGGCTGCGTTTCTCGTAAGAATGGCGAAGATAGATTTACGCAGGCTTGCGACACTGGTTGCTCTGATTACCTATGAGCCTCCTGTTACCTTTTTTTCTGCTAACATTTTTCGTAAATTTATTGAACTTTTTTCTTGACACAGATGGTCATAACTTGTTTTGTATGATCATGCATTATTTGGTAATTCATATGAGCATTATATTTGTGCATGTAACTATTGCGTCTTCCTAAATCCAACCATTTAGGGGTGTAAGCTATTCAAGTTAGAGTCTAGAAGACCCCCCATAACTACTACGTTTCTTTAAGCTCAAATTTGAACTTGAGCTTATGTCCTGCCCATATATGAGCTCTTGTTGAGTCATACGTTCGAGCTTGAATTGGGCTTCTCTTGTCCATTTGCAGCTTGAACTCACGAACTTTTAAATCATAAAAAATGCAATCTGATACACTAAAGCTGCAAAAATTAATTGAAGGTCTTGTTGCTTCTTGAAGTATTTGCGGTGGTATAGAAATATATGATTAGCCTTAGTGTTGTAGGAAGATTCAATACACAAGCTAATAAGAGACACATATTCATAAGTGACATCAAAATTTTTATGTGGAAATTCTTGAAAATGGGGAAAATCATAAGGCATGGTCTAGTTTGAATGAATCAATTAGTATTTATAGTCAATTACAAATGTGGCCTTTTCTAGGGAGAAGGCTTTGACTTGATGTCTAAAATGTATGTTATATATAACATATTATATGGTGTGAGTTACAATAATTTATATAGATATGTTTGTTTGGTTGGAATGATCATAGTGAGCACTAGATAAGGGTTTGAAAGACTGTAGTTGGTAGAAGATCGGGGTTAAAAAGATTATTGGTTGGTGATGGAGGTTGGAAGGATCGTAGTAGACTACGGAGGTTGAAAAGATCATAGTCGGCAGAAGACAAGTGTTTGAAAGATTGTAGTTAGCAGAAGATTGTTTCAAAAATACCGTAGTAGTAGGGCATTACTACGGTAAAAGTTTGGGCGTTAGGTGGTTTTCCTTGGCCTTAGGTGGTGGTCCGGCAGAAGTTCATGTGTTAGGTGGTGGATTGACGGTACAACGATGTCAGGTGGTAATCCGGCAGAAGATTGGGCCTAAGGTGGTGGTCCGGCAGAAGGCTATCCCTCAAGTGGTAGTTTGGTGGATGTGAGAGTCTCAAGTGGTGGTTTGGCAGAGCAACGACTTTAGGTTGTTGTCTGGTGGAACTTCGATGATAGTCAAGGACGAGCGAGGAAGCAAGAGCGATCTTTAATCTTTGTCTTGCTCTGTTGCTTGGAGCTCCATTTCAAGAGAAAAGATTGGAGTGACATAGATCATAAATATGTAAGATATCAAGAGTAAATGGAGAGTGGTTGGATGGACGGTTTGAAGGACATTTAAATGCATTAGTGATGTTGGAATTTGATGATCTTTGGCTTGTTGGATTCTCTTGTCGAGCCGCTTGATTTTATTATAAGCATGTCAAGTCTGTAAATTATTTGGATTCGTCTTGTCTAGCTGCTCGATTTGATTATAAGTATGTCATGTATGGGAACCGTTTGGTAATCCATATTATTGTTCTAACCTTCTAACAATGCTTCTAACTCTTGATTTTGACCTATTTAGACTTTGATTGAGTCAAATTTGATGTCGATGGGTTCAAATGTATGCAATTAACACTAAAAAAAATGGAACTTTTAGCTATAGATTCAAAAGAATTTGTTGGACCTTCAGCTCTTGGTTGTTGTCATATTAGTGTTATCAAATTATTTTATCAAAATCATTAGATCCATTTGAATGTCTTTCTTCCTATTTTGACTCCCCAGAATATTTTTATCAGTTCTATATTCTGTAGTTTAATTGTCTCAAAAGTTAAAGAACAGATAATTATTTGTAATAAGCAATCATTTAACTTAATGGCTTAAGCTAGGCTAACTCTTGTGGTTCTCTCTTCTTCTTCTTATTCTTTATATATCATAAGAGTTTTAGTGTCACTTTTTTATTTTTTTATGTTTTAAATTTTTGGATAAAGTTAAAATGTAAGATTGTGATATTCTGCAGCAAGTTTTCTTGTTCCATTTACGGTTCAATGCTAAGTTTGCCAAACCCTCAGCAACGATCAACTTTTATTGGTGCTTGGTGCGGCCTTTCGAATTGAAGAGATTTAGAATTTGTCTATTCAAGAGAGAATATTTAAGTCTCTTTATCTATTTCAATGAATATTTGAGGTTGTTATGTGTGATCATTTAGTGAGTCTTTATAACAATGTAATTGACAGTAATTATTAGATTATTATGTGTAAAGAGGTATTTAAAGTTTTTATCCTTTGTAAAAAATTTCTATTAGTGGCATGTTTATGTGAATGAATACTTATATTTGTTCTTCTCTTATTTCTTGATCCATTTTTGGAAATTTTTATAAGCTATGGGTTATTTGTGTGATGGATGAAAGGGTATAAATTTGATCTAGGTAAACTAGAAAGAATAGACAAGTAGGAGAATACTAGGACAAATTAAAATTAAAATTCATTCAAACCATATGCAAATATTCTAAAACAAAATTTAAAACAAACAAAAAAGATGAATCAAACAAAATAAAATTATAACATAAAAATATTATCCACAGATCAAATTTGCAAGCGGTCGATAAGTAGGAAAAATATGATAAAGTGCTTAAGCTTACAAAATGAGGGTTCACCATAGCAAAAGGGTCCAACCTACAACTAGACTTTTCTGGTAAATGTCTCCCAAATCAGTTAACAAACATCACCCAATAGCTCAAGAAGAATGATACAAGTAGTGGAACGTGGAGAAAAAGAAATTAGAAGTCAAGACGAAATAGAGAGGAAGAGGTGGAATAAGCTCTCAAGCTTTTCCAAAAGAAGAAATCTTTAGGTTTTTAACAACTTTTTTCAAGTTAATTAATAACCTCCTCAAGACAAAAATATCTCATATTTATAGGAGAGAAAGGAGAGCCAAACAGGCAACTTCTTCCTCCAACCAAACCAATCAGGTGAGGGGAAGAGAAAGGGCAAAAGTTATCACAAAACATCTCCCAAAAAATAGCACAGGAAACGGGTAAGAGAAGCACGGGAACACAGACAGGAAGCCACCGGAACACAGTTAGGGAGACCCTCGAAGAGCCAACACAGAAATCGGGCTGAAGAAGTCATTGGAAAGCAACCAGGGCCAAAATTGAAAAGTCAACCAACACTCAGCCTTAAATAAAAAAGAAGAAACCAAAGAGACATAAGAAGGGGAAGAAATAAGCTCCACTTAACATACATTTATAAATTTATGAGCTAGGAAGTGCAATTTCTCCACTAAATAATGAGTTAAACATCAGCTCAAACGTTAATGAGATAGCATCAAGAAGATCTCAACATTTCAGCTCACAACCAGAGCAATTAAAGACCAATCGGATTGTAGCCAAAGCGTAAACTGTGAAATAGCAAGCAGCCCAAAGAATAAAAGGACTCAAAATGCTAGCAAATCCAAGTTTTGCAATGCCCAAGTACATCCTACAATGATCATTGGATGTTCTCCATCATTGGATAGCATAAAAAAAGAACATAAAACACAACTAAATAATGTTCAAGTTACATCAAAACAAAATAAGCCATAATATAAATGCATCAAAACTAATATATGATTTGTGTGCGATCAGATGGGTGATATGTGACATGTTATTGTGATGGTTGGGGAGAGTTTGTGGAATTAGGCTTTATGGTTTAAAATTCTTTTTTTTTTTCATGTGGTTAAAATTTTTTATTTTTTTACTATTTGATTAAAATTAGGCAACAATAAATAGATCAGAGTTAACACAAGTTCTAATGGATAGAGTAGAAGGAATGAGCCTCTTAAATTCATGATTAGAGTACGAAAAGAAAAAATAAGAGAAAACATTATAAAAATATTAACAATTCATTCTCACTAAGAATTAATTATTGTGCGGATTCTGAATTTAGTTTGGAGACTAATTAGAATGTGTTATGTTATCCTTTTGCTGTGTACCGCAGCTCGGTACTGCTTCATATTGAGGTTTCATACCGCTGATGTGGTTGCTCTTCATTCGTCTTCAAACGTAGAATTGTGTTAGACCTCTGCACATAATAATTCTACCCTTCTCAGAGACTTTTATGTTTCAAGAGCATTGTTAGCCACATAAACTATCATAAGGGTAAACTCAAGAGAGAAGGTGAGAAGTGAAAATGAAATATGAAGAGCCCTTAAACGAGAAATATTGAGTTAATAGGAGCAGCAGTCAAGGCTAGAGAGAGGATGGCTTGAGTGGAAGAAGAAACCAGGGTTAAGTTAGCTGCAATGTATAACTGTTTATCGATAGAGCTGTTGGGCTGTGCAACTCCTTGTGCTCGGTCCATCAATATAGTGATCAGGAAAAGAAGAAGAGCAAGAAGATTCTTCATGAGCTGAACCGACAGTTCTGCAGTTATTGATTGCAAGTTTAGTGGTGTGATCTTCAAATTGTTTATTTATTCAGTCAATTGTATAATCTTTAGAGTTTCAGATACAAACTTCAAATTTTTTCTCCTTTGTGTTTGTTTAAAATATCACTGCTCAGTATTGGCTCTTTTTTTTCTGCTTTCTATAATAATTTTTTATATGATTATTTTTGAAAGTAGTAAAAAAATTTATGGTAAAAAAATATCCCAAAGGAAGCCTAATTATTTTTTTTAAAGTGATTATGATGAAATGCATTCATAAAAAAGAAACAAAAATTGGTATTTTATTTTTTTAGTGATTGAGTTTAAATGTAATGTAATAAAATTTTAAGAGCTTAGAAATATTTTAATTTTTTTTTATATTTTAAGATTATTCAAGGGTTAGTACCAAAATTTTTAATTCAAAGAATATTTG